TATTATACAGTGGAGAATAGACAATTAGACACCAAACACTAACAATGAATACAACATATTATACAGTGGAGAATAGACAATTAGACACCAAACACTAACAATGAATACAACATATTAGACAGTGGAGAATAGACAATTAGACACCAAACACTAGACAATAAATGCAACACATTAAACAAACAATTCATCTTCATGGTATTAAACGTAAACAAACAATTCACTGTAGAGAAACATGAATATCAAATTTATACTTGATCAGACAAAGCTTTTAAGGGCACTGTTGTAAATCGGGCATTGCCATCTTTGCATATATGGAGTTAATAACTTGAAATTACGCTTACAGTCCCTTTAATTCTGATTTACTAAGAAAGCGTCCCAAGTAAATGACTCACAAAATTCAACTTTCTATAGACTTGAAGGTTATCATTCCCAAAATTCAATTAAATAAATTCCAAATGTCATACTTATGATTCCCAAAGGTTAACTTTATAAATAAAAAATTCCCAAAGATATTTTTCAAGTTAAAAAGTTTCCAAACCTCAATGTTATTCTAATATTCTACCTTGATGTAACTCCTCATAATTCTCCTCCTCATACTCCTCCACACTGTCCACGTTGGTCTCCAAGGGGTCGGAGTAGTGGGCAGGAGGGGAGGTGTAGTGGGTGGAGGGCGGAGAGGTGAAGTGGGTGGAGGGAGAAGAGGTGTAGTGGTTTGGAGGGTCTGAACTATATTGATGTGGAGGAGGAGGCAAGCTCTGTGGAACCCTTCGACCGAGAGACCCGTTGGTGGCAATACGATTATTCGAGGATTTTCTCAACATTTCTGCCCTCTCGGCAGCTATCCGCCTTTCTTCTAGTATTTGCTCTGCCTCCCTAAGTTCAAGGTTCCGCCTTTCCGCCTCTCGAAACTCAGTTTCACTCCTGTCTCTCTTTTCTAGTTCTAATATGCTTAGCTCTTCAAAACTCTGACGTTTTTGATTCTCAAAATTTTTCTTTTCCAGGTCCAGTCTTTCAATTTCCGAGCGAATATCTTCAATTTGATATTCTTCCAGTTCATCGTCTTTTATTTCCTGAATCTGTGTTGGGCGCCATCTTGTTTCCGCGTCTTTTTTACCCTGCAAATTTGGCGGGTTTTTCTTATCACGAGTTTGGTTTGGCGGATTTTTATTTGCCACGGAGCTTCTTTGGCTTGGAGTTTGATGGGGAGTGATGGATATGACAGTTACTCGCTCTGCAACACACGAACATGAAAATGTTGTCAAATCTTGGAACCATCAAAGAGAAAACAAATGTAATGAAATTTTTTATTTTTTTTTATTTTAAAGAAAGATTTTTATTTTTTTATGTCCTCCCTTCAGCGCTGGCATCACTTTTGGCTGGTGAGTGAGGTCTGCTCCCTGACCCCTGGTGACGCAGTATCAATCATAAACCAAACCAAATTCAACACAAATATACAATATGGCGTCTATCAGTGTATGGAAACAGAAAACGGATGGATTTCGAGAAGAATGGAAGGATTTAACCTTCTAGAATTCTCAGGAATTTATCATAGTAAATAGTAAATATTAGGAAAAGAAATGGAAAAAATAAAATTGATGATTTGATGATAATTGATACTTTACATTCCTGAATATTATCTAGAATATCTAAACTTTGTCCGGGGGATGCTGTCTTGCTTAGGGGAGGACTAGACTCCTGTACATAGTTGTACACTCAATACATGTACAGTTTATAGATGTATTTGTATGTATAGCTGTATACTCAATACATGTACTGTTTAAAGATGTATTCGTATATTTAGTTGTACACTCAATTCATGTACTGTTTAAAGATGTATTCGTATATTTAGTTGTACACTCAATACATGTTAAGTTAATAGATTTATTTGTATATATAGTTTTACACTCAATACATGTACAGTTTATAAATGTATTTGTATATATAGCTGTACACTGAACACATGTACAGTTAAATGTACATTTAAATACAGTTGCACACACTTAATACATGTACAGTTAGATGTACATGTAAATATAGTTTTACACCTAATACATATAGAGTTTATAGATGTCATGTAGACACAATTTTATTTTAGTAATAGAACCCAAAAATGATAAAAAGGGGCCAACAATCACAAATTATAATCCCGTGTCTATTTCCCCCTAAAAAAAATAGCAGAAACGCAATATTAAAACACAAAAACAGGTTGAATTTTTTCCTTTAGATAAACTCATAGAACAGAGATTTAATCTCAAAGAACAGAGATTTAATCTCAAAGAACAGAGATTTCAACTCATAGAACAGAGATTTAATCTCATAGAACAGAGATTTAATCTCAAAGAACAGAGATTTAATCTTAAAGAACAGAGATTTCAACTCATAGAACAGAGATTTAATCTCATAAAGAACAGAGATTTCAACTCATAGAACAGAGATTTAATCTCATAGAACAGAGATTTAATCTCAAAGAACAGAGATTTAATCTCACAAAACAGAGATTTCAACTCATAGAACAGAGATTTAATCTCATAGAACAGAGATTTAAGCTTAAAGAACAGAGATTTCAACTCACAGAACAGAGATTTCAACTCATAGAACAGAGATTTAATCTCATAGAACAGAGATTTAATCTCAAAGAACAGAGATTTAAACTCATAGAACAGAGATTAAATCTCATAGAACAGAGGTTTAATCTCAAAGTACAGAGATTTCAACTCATAGAACAGAGATTTCAACTCATAGAACAGAGATTTAAACTCATAATACAGAGATTTAGATAGATAGAAAGATAGAGTTTATTATGAAAAAAATCCGATGATTAACATTCATATAAAATAAGCTTATACATTTTAAATTTTTCATATTGGTAAAAGCATATATATGTTTATCTATTACTATTATCTAATTGCTATTCAGTAATTTTTGTATATAAGGTATACATGATCTCCTTAACCTCTCCGTCCTGGCTTGAACAGCTGTGGACAGATTCTGTTCTCTAAGGTTATGGTTGTGGAGAGGAATATTTCAAGGAAACAGGGATCTGTGCTTTGAGTTTAACAGACATTTTTTCCCAAACGATAGACAGAGATTTAATCTCATAGAACAGAGATTTAATCTCATAGAACAGAGATAAAATCTCAAAGAACAGAGATTTAAACTCAAAGAACAGAGATTTAAACTCAAAGAGCAGAGAATTAAACTCAAAGAACAGAGATTTAATCTTATTATTGCTATTAATATTGTATTTTATTTGTTAATATTATTTTTATTTTTTTATCATCTAAAAATGTTTCCTTCTGTTTTTGTTTTGTTTTTCCGAACTGGTTTGCTGGGAGGAAGTCTGAAAAAAAATTGAAGTTAAACAAAAACCTTAAATTAAATACCTTTCACGTCATTTTAAATATTTACAGACCAAACACAACAGTACCCTTTAAACCTTTATCTGAGAAAAAATGAGGAAAATATCCGAAAATAATCAAATTCTGACAAATTTCTTTTTGTTTCTGCTGCACACTTTTATATAGAAATCACAATAGGAAATTATAACTTTACACATTAAAATATTATCATCATTTTGGCTCAGACTCGTGTTTAACAGGTACTGTTGTGAATCAAGCATGGAGGATCATTTGTCAATCCGATTGATATATTTAAGATCTTATATTTGAAGAGATTTCAAAATAGGAAAATAACATTTATAAAACTTTCATAACTAAAATATACTTACAAAAGATACTTGACCAGTTAAAAAATGTTAAAAAAAAATTTGAATATTAAAAAATACTTGAATATTTAGAAAAACCTGAATTTTTAAATATACTTGAATATCTAAAAATGCTTGAATATGTAAAAATACTTGAATATTTAAAAATACTTGAATATTTAAAAATACTTGAATATCTTAAAATGCTTGAATATTTAAAAAATACTTGAATATCTATAAATACTTGAATGAATATTTAAAAATACTTGAATATCTAAAAATACTTGAATATTTAAAAATACTTGAATATTTAGAAAAACCTGAATTTTTAAAAATACTTGAATATTTAAAAATACTTGAATATCTAAAAATGCTTGAATATGTAAAAATACTTGAATATTTAAAAATACTTGAATATCTAAAAATGCTTGAATATCTATAAATACTTGAATATCTAAAAATGCTTGAATATTTAAAAATACTTGAATATTTATAAAAACTTAAATATCTAAAAATACTTGAATATTTAAAAATACTTGAATATGTAAAAATACTTGAATATTTAAAAATACTTGAATATTTAAAAAATACTTGAATATCTTAAAATGCTTGAATATTTAAAAAATACTTGAATATCTAAAAATACTTGAATATTTAAAAAAACTTGAATATCTAAAAATACTTTAATACTTAAAAATACTTGAATATCTAAAAATGCTTGAATATTTAAAAAAAAAACTTGAATATCTAAAAATGCTTGAGTATTTAAAAATACTTGAATATGTAAAAATACTTGAATATTTAAAAATACTTGAATATTTAAAAATACTTAAATATTTAAAAATACTTGAATATTTAAAAATAGTTGCAAAATTAAAACACACTTTCTACAATATTGTTTTCAAGCTTGTAAAACTATAAAAAAAATGTACGCCCATTTTTTTATAATTTTTCTGAAATAAATTCAAAAATTTTATTCTTACTTTGAGCTGGCTTTCCGATACTGTCCTATGTACGGTGTTATTTCATCTTTCTCATCTTTCTTCTTGTTTTTGTTGTTTTGATGTTTGTTTACATTGGCCCGGTCTGTTTGTGTACTGCTCCGGTCTGTTTGTGTACTGCTAGAATTCTTCTTAAAACTTTCAACTCTAAGTAAAAAAAAACAATGAAAAATGAAAAAAAAATAAAAAAACATGTTTTTGTTTTCAAAAGAAATTTCAAAAAATTATACTTTTGTGTTAATTTTAGAGAAAAATATAAAAGGGGTGAAGGGTTNATTGATTAAAGGGACTGTACGCCTAAATAGTGAATAATTGATTGATTAAAGGGAATGTACGTCTAAATAGTAATTAATTGATTGATTAAAGGGACTGTACGTTTAAATAGTGATTAATTTATTGATTAAAGGGGCTGTACGCCTAAATAGTGATTAATTGATTGATTAAAGGGACTGTACGCGTAATTTCAAGTGACCCTCCATGCAGAGGTTGCAATGCCGGATTTACAACGGTTCCCATAAAACCTTAATCTGATCAAAAAATGTGAAGATATTGTCGTTTTCTTGATTCGAAAAGTGTTTAATTCTAATAAGTGCCAGTCACTTTGGCAGAGAACCATCAAATGAAAATAAACAGTTTAAAGAGAAGAAAAAAAACGTGGATCTCATTCAAACTTAAAGGGACTGTAAAGGAAAAATGAAAGGGGGTATAGGATGAAAGCTGAAGTTCTCAGCTTTTGAACGATACCATTGAAGACATCTATCCGATGTTCCTGTCTCGAGAAATTGACATAAAACTGTGTCAAAATTATACCAAAACGGGCATATGCCAGATTTGGTATAAAAGTTGTAGTATTAAATACGTCATATTAAAAAAATACGCCACCAATATAAAAACACCTACACCTAACAGGAAGCTGAGAACCTCAGCTTTGCTTCTGTTATAATTTTATCTTTTTATTTTCCATTTCTAATAGATAAAATTGATTAAAATTTTTTATCGTCGCTTCTGTGGATTTTTCACAACAAAGACGACCGAAAATCAATCAATAAATCATGCGTCAGAGATATTTAGATTTTAGAAGATACAACTCTTGCATATTATAGTCTCTTATCTTTAGAGGAGGTTCCAAAAAACGTAGGATAGAACAGTATATGATATATATCCCAGTAAAGCATTTACTTAATTACTTGATTAATTATCTAATTTTCAGATGAAATCCTAAATGAATGAATTTGATAATATCTAGCTAGATTGAATATATTTAAAAACTATAGTGCACAGGTGATCTATTTTGACAACTTTAAGATGAAAATCACCCCCCATTCCGACAATTCTTTGATTTTTTTAAAATACTTTTCTTAAACGTCAATATTAATCCAATTTTTATTATTTGCTAAACTTTTATCTTCGTAGTTGATTTTATCCTCGAGGTTAAGGGCGATAAATTGATAAAGGTGACAAAGGGTTTTTAAAAACTTATTTTTCCGTCCCTGACCTTAGTTAAATCATCTAAACATTTTACGCAAAAAAATTATCAACTTGGGAATTAATAATTAACTTATATAAAAAGAAATTAACTTTCAACTCAAGGAAATCGAATCGCCGATGCCTGATTTATTTGTCGTCTCATTTATATTGAGAAGTNATAAAAAAGAATTATTAACTTTTTTTAGGTAACAACTTTCAAAAGATTTAACTTTCAACTCAAGGAAAGAATCGCCGATGCCTGATTTATACGTCGTCTCATTTATATCTCTCTCTTTAACCTTTCTTGAATATAAAAAGTAAAAGTTTTTATTCAGGAACGCCGGAGTCGACTAGATGTGGACGTATACATGCAACATGATCCTGAAACCAGTTTTTGCAACAATCCAGAGATTTTCCATTCAAACGCCAGAGACTATATAGTAAATACATCACGGAAACTGACATTTATGCCGATGTAAAAATCAGTTTTTTTGATAAATTATGGATGTGCAACGTGGATGCCTGTGCTAAAAGATCTCGTAACAAGCAGTACCATTTTACCCTTTGTAAAGGGCATGAAGCGGAATTGTCACTTTTTACTTCTCTGAACTTGTCTAAATATACAATCTTTTCTTATCCTGTAACAGCGTATAATTACCAGATATCTAACGAACATTTTAATTTTAATTAAAACTTTTTGCAATGTATTTTAATAAGTTGTTATCTTTAAATGATATTTAGCAGTGATTAAGATTCGGATCCACTGGATCCGCAAGGTTTTGACTAATTAAACTTTTTGGATCCGGATCCGCATCAAAATTAAATGAATCCTCAGCACTGAAATTTAGTATCTATGTGTATGTCACATTAAAGTTGAACCTTAGCTAAATGTTATTTATCCCA